TTATCCTTTTTTTTTTTTTTGGTTCCTTTTCTATTTTTCTTTCAATTTTTTAATTATTTTCTTCACTTTCTATTTTTTCTTTTATTTTCTTAGTTTGTATTAGTTTTTATCTTTTTAATTGTAATGCTTAATAAAATTATTTTAAAAAAAGGAATTGAGGTTGGCTCAAAGGAGACTTTACATTACCACTGGTAGAATGCAGTGTCAGATCATATCTCAGACTGTCAAGCTTCAAAAAAGCTGTTTTATAATCTGGCCTTTGTAATACTCGTTTTAAAGCTGAAATATTATTTTCAACTGTTTTTGTCTGTCTTTGTTCCTTGCCTCGGAGGTAAAGAACTCACATATCCTTGTATAAAATGAAGTTAAAAGTAAAGAAACCCTGATAAGACAATATCATCCCCTTCCTACCTTCAGATTGAGTGAGGTGAAAGCTTCTTAGCGGTGATAGATTTCTCCCCAGTTCTTATGGTAACTTTTCAAAAGTAATACATTTGCATTTAAAATTCAAGAGAAAGATGCATTTGCATTTACTGTACATTTAATTGTGTGTAATAGTGCTATCCTTCTAAGAAGGAAAATGACTTACTTGTGGTGACTGTATATAACCATATGGACCAAACTGCGTCATCTGTAAGCACAATACGTTTATTGTAATGTGTTTTCTGGGTAAATAAGAAATTCATTCATTAGACTGAACTAGTGGTTGAGGTGTTAGGAATGGGGAGACTCAGGTTCAAGTCCCTATTTCGCCATGTAGGTCCCTGGGTAAATTTTGACCAGTCATTCGTTCAGATAATATGAAGGGAAGGGAAACCCTCATTTACACCACCTTCAACTCTCAGAGAAAATATGCAAAGGAAATACAAAAATCATAACAATGAATATCAGGTGTGAATATAACAGGTTTCATTGATCTTGCCATAACTAATATATGAGTCCTTTAAGAAATGTTGATTTGCTCATATTCCAGCATATTGCCACCATATTAAAGTATGGCTGTCTGGAGAATTCTGGGAGTTGAAGTCCAGACATCTTAAGGTTGCCAAGTTTGAGAAACAGTGATCTAGACCATCACCCTCATTTTCAGTGCTGGGGGTAAAATTGACCTTTCAAATCGTACACTGTTTCAGAATAGTCCAGCTGGCTAGATGTTAAAAAATGGAGAAATCATAGCCTTAAACATAACCACTGGAACCCAGGGGTAATCCAGTTCTGCCAGATATTTCCTCTACAAAGGAAAAAGGTGCTTTCAAAATACGTCCGTGTGAAAGTTTTATTTTTTGTTTTAAATGAGGTATTTAAAACAGTCAGCTAGGTTATTCATACATCTAAGTGGGTTTTGTTTTCCTTGAATGTCAACAGCTCTCCAGAATTTTATCTCTGCCAGATATTGATCTTCTGAAAGCATAGTAGGTCCTTCACCTTTGTCCTCTAACACTGTCCTTCCCCTCTGAGTTCACATACTTCATAATCTTCAAAGTAGACAGTGACTGACCATCCACAAATGGATTGAATGATGGGAGAAAAGTTAACCTTGGGATTAGGGGTCATTTTTACTTAATAAATCTAGGACTTCCTTTTCAGGAAAGAAAATAAAATGGATAACGTACGTACTTCTTCACTTTTGCTTCCATATCCTGCCCTGCGTGGTTTGCGCAGCTAAAAAGAGAGAGAGAGAGAGAGATGTGGGGCTGAGTTATCACAAGCGGGGAATTAAAAAATGAAGTCCAATAAAGTGCCCAGTTTTGAAATACTCACTGGACCAGCATAAGATATGCCTACAAGGCATAGATATAGGAGGATTAACTTCATCCTTCACCTTCTCCACTAAATAGAGATAAACACAACAAACAGCCTGTTATACACTTATTTTAGCACAGTGGTTTTAGAGATCAACTTAGTATACTGAGGAAAGAGTATCTTCACATATTCCTCATGTTAGCTTGACAGATGTCAATGTGCTTGAAATGATTACTGAAGAAAATGTTAATTCTTCTCATCAGGACAAAGCAACAACAGTAGTCTTTGTGAAATAGGAACCTTATCTTTAAATACTTCATTTATTTATTGTGAAAAATCTAAACTTTCCACAGTAAAAAGGACCCAAAGATTCCTCTACTGTAATTTCTGCTGATACAATGCTTGAATTGTAACCTAACAGACAAAGGTCTTGAGGATATCCCATATCACTTCTGGCCATTTCTTAGGTCAACTTCAAAACCTTCAGTCCAGATTGCAGTGGGTTGGCAACAGAGCTGAGCTGAGCGATCTGGCTCCTGCATGGACTAGTTTATCAATGCCTACCTTTTTTTGTAGAGATTGTTCCCTGTTCAATAGTCCCAATGCCTTTCCTTTGCTTTCCAGATGTTTGCATGTACGGATGCCTTCACTCCCACCCCTTTCCCATATTATCTCTTTGACACAAACACAGTCCCTTTCTTTTTTCTCTTTTTCCCTCATTGTATCATTGTTGCTCTGATGTTATGACATCAAAGCTATAGGGCACAGCTGGTTGTTTTCTTCCTGTATTCCATGATAGGCCAATGAAACTTTGTAGCAAGGAAGAACTAATATTTCAGCTTCCTAGAAACAAAGTAGCAGTGTTCCTAGGTTGTAACTGGGAAGGGAAGGGAAGGGAAGGGAAGGGAAACTTTTGCAGTGCTGTGGACAGTGGGTAGGGGAACAAGGAGAGTATGCATCATCCAGACTGGGCAGAAACCAAAAAAAGTTAGGATTAGGGTTAGCAACCAGCCAACGGAGGGAATGAAGCATGCAGGCACTGCAGCTAATCAGAGCTCGGATTCCTTTCATATCCTGTGGCCTGATCCAACCCATTTTTTAATGTTATCTTTCTTATATTGGCTTCTCCTGCCATACCAAATTTGGTCCTATTCTATTCATTTTTTAGAGAGCCATCCTGCTGACAAAGGGACCTTTACATAATTTCTTTCCAACTTTCTGTTGGGCTGGAAGGAATTTTTAAAAAGTGAAACATAAACATTGCAGAAAGAGAGAATGTATACATATTTTATATGGGACTCTATCTGCATAAAATTCAGTTTGCATTTGTGGAGACATTTGAGCAAGAAACATTTTACCTCCAACATTTCTCTACATTTGACTGAACTATAGCTCATGTAAGAGCTCCAAACAAAAGTAATATGAACTGAACTATAATCAGGATTATATGGAGTTCCCTTTATTATGGTTGCTCTGAACAGATAATGCTGTGTGTTGCTACCCATTGTGTTTTTAGCCCTAATTTTTCTTGCATGCAACAGGAAAACTGGAATTGTATACTTTATTCCAACCTCCAACTTCTGTTTGCTCAGTGGAAAAGTTAAATGGAAGCTTCTAAGCATCCACTTTAATATACAGTATATGGTTCCATAGGACTATAAGTATATGAAGGAAAGAGTTTATTTTCACACATCATTTTCATGGATTTTTGAAGTTGTGAACAGGGCACATATTTTATTTATTCATTTAAGAGACTTATATGGCTGCCCATCTTATGAACCATAATTCCAGTTGGGGTGGAATTAGTAATAGTAACAGTAATAGTCAAACAAACAAACAATAAAGACCAACTTCTGAAACAAACAAAAAAAGAACAATTCCTGGTGTTCTAAACCAACACTACAAAAATAAAGCACAACCACTTGGCTCCAGATTCACCCTAGCAATGCCTGGGGGAAAAGCCAGCTTTTTAAGAAGGCCAGAAGGGTGGGGGCCTGCCAGATCTCAACAGGAAGGGTGTTGCACAGGGTAGGGGCTGCTCCTGAGAAGGCATGCTTCCTAGGTCCTGCTAGATGACAACATTTGAGAGAAGGGGCCTGGAGTTTGTCCACCCTATCTAGCCTGGTTGAGTGGGCAGATATCCTCATGGAGAGGTGGTCCCAGAGAAAACCTGGCCCTGTGCCATGCAGGGTTTTAAAGGTGATAATCAGCAACTTGAATTGCACCTGGAAAGAAACTGGAGGCCAGTGCAGCTCACACAGCCATGGTATAATATGGGCAAACCAAGGGGTACCCCAAACTGTCCACACTGCTGCATGCTGGACCAGTTGTAATTTCCGGATGGTTTTCAAGGGCAGCCCCATGTAGATATGAAATGATGAATGTGTGAATTCATTATCATATATTCACTATATATGGGGTTAAGTACTCCCCCACCTCGCACCACCACCAGGTTTGGTTAGTTTGTCTCTCATGAACAGACAGAAAAAGGCAGTTCCCAGAAGATATCATGGATTTCTCATCCTATTTTTCACAGTGTCCAGCCAGGTGCTGACTGTCCCCCAGCAATGAGTACTTAGAGGTATTACAATATAAACCCCAGGAAGATGAGCTTTTTCTAATATTAAGAAAGAAATTTCCTTTCATCTAGAAGACAAGCATGGTGGTCAGCAAACTATGCCCCATGGGCCAAATGCACCTGTTTTTATATGGCTCACAAGCTAAGAATGGATGGGCAGGTAGCAGGCAAAGGGCAGGGCCAAGGACCGGGGAGACACAGCTTGAGTGGATATGGCTGCCTATCAACGGCCTCTTTACTGGTGACTGGTGCCATCCAGTGGCTGCCACACTCCTTGGCCTGCAGACCTATCAGCTGCACCCATGAAGGTGGAGGAAGATTGAGATCTGCCCTTTAGAGAAAAAGTTTGCCATCCCTGGTATAGACTGCATCATTTTTTCCAGTTTGGTGTAGTCCAGTTGAGTTGGACTTCAGGAGATCTGGTAGTTACCAGGCTTGGGGACTATGTCTAAGATTCAGTGACTGGATTTTGGTTGGATGGATGGATATCCGAGAGTTGAGCAGACCAACCAGAATGCCTCAAATACCATACAAACTCTTCATTAAGCAAGGAAATGAGGAAGAAAGAAGCCAGATAGACCAGATGTTGTAGCCACTAGCCATGATTTAGTCTGCAATTTAGAATGACTAGCAATGAAAAGATATTGGTATACCTGGTAGTGATTCTGTTTTGCAAGTGTTTCCACCTTTACCGAGGGGCTACCACATTACAGTAGGCAAGAAGGCATCTCTTTAGGGCTAAGGGGCACCTGCAAGAAATTACTGTATTTTCAATTGGGATATTCAAGGCAAAAGAGCTTTATTGATTTTTATTGATTGATAGATTATTTCAATTTATATAGCAGTCCATCTCAAGTACATGACTCTGGGCAGCTCCCAGCAATTAAAACTATATAAAACAAAAACAATTGCAAAACACACACACAATATTTTTTTTAAAAAAACCTATACAACAACACTGAGATATAGCCAAGGTATACCAAAAACAATCAACATAGCCATTGTACAGGCTCTACCACACACCTGGGTCCCCAAGCCCAATGCAGATATTATGCATTTCTCCAGTAGAATTTGAAACAATGGCTTACGCAGAAATGTCCCAACAAATGGAACAAATTAATTCTGTTTGACTGTGGGTCATTTCAGTATAATTGTAACCATATAAGTTTGTAGTATAGCTGTTATGGGGGGGGGGAAGAGTCCCTGTAGTTTCAATTGTGCCATATTTATAGCTACTTTTCTTCCCCATGCCCATTAGATGGTGGCAGCATCTAGTTGACCTTGGCTGATTTTGAAAAGTTAAGCAGAGTTGGATCTGGCTAATACTTAGGACATTACTAGGAAATCCAAAGGTTGTAGGCTTGACTGGAAAACCCCAAAACATCCCTTCCATGTTGTTGCCAAGAAAACTACATGGAAGTGTCATAAAGTCACCATAAGTTGATGTCAACTTGAATCAAGCTTTATCTTGAACTCCCACCCATGGAAAAGTCTCCTCCTGAATCTACAGTACTGTCACTGGTTGCAAGTTTTAAAGAAGGAGCAAATTAAAAGTGAAGCCTAAGCTTTGCCTTAGGCTCCATCTTCAACTTCAGCCAAAAGGGCTGCCCAGAAGATCACAGCAACACTTTACCTCTCTCCCATATTATTGTTGGTTGCACAGTCAGCCAGATGTTTAGACTGGATTTGGCATTTGTATCCACCTATCAAGTCCTTCCCAAGGACCTGGGATAGACAGATGTTGTTGTTTGATGGTGTTAAAAGTATCATCACAGGATATGTTGTTGTTATTATTTCATCTGGAAAGGCTAACTGGCCTCTTTTAGAGCAAATATTTCATCCTGGAATTTCAGTTACAGATCTCCAGTTTGTAATATTTGAAATGATTTGTTTATTCATGATTTCTGGAATCCAACTGAGAACCCACAGGTGGGCTCATGCAGGGATTCTTCTAATGACACAGATTTGAAAATGCATTCCGCTGATGTGTCACCCCAGCAATGTGATTGCACTAATTTAATTCCATTAATGTTTATAGATGCTGCTTTGAAATAAATGCATTTCAAATATAATGCCATTCAAATATAATGTAAAGCTACACATTTTTTAAATAAATGTATTCTCAGAATTCGCTCAAGAGAACACAGTGACTGTGTTAATTTTGTTCAAGTGTGAAATATGTCAACAGCCATAGCACTCTATAGTGATTATCACTGTTAAACCCATAAATTCTGCAGATGACTTTACATCTAAGAATCTAGGAAAAATTATTGTTTTTCCCTGCAACTTTCAATAATAGCAAAGTGGGGTTTGCTATTATTGAAGGTCACAAGCAAAAATCCCATATATAATTTTTTCAAGATAATATGTGAGAACATAATCAATTATTTATCCTACCACCTTATTGCTATCTTTTACTGTCTAAAAATTACAAGAAGCTTTACATTTTAAAACTTAGCATTAGATTGCAAATCTCAAAATAAATAGAAAAATC